ATCAATTATTTTTGCGGGTTTTCCAGCTTTCTTTGCGGTCGAATTTTAATTGATTTTCCAATGTTCAAGTGTCTCCATATAATGATTTTTCAATGTTCACATGTATCCACTTAATTTTTCAATGTTTGCACGTATCCACATAATAAATTTTTCAATGTTCACATTTATCCATATAATGAGCAATGGGACAATACATGAAAGGGTTAATAACTAGACAAGACAGACACATCTAATGAAGTGTGCTTGGATCAGCGGACTCCAGGCATCAATGACACCCCCTGGATTTTCCGGTTATTTTTGTTTGTACTAGTTGTTGATTGTTATATTGTATCAATTTAATGCGCAATGGGGCAATTAATAGACTAATGGGTTAATAGATCTAAAACTAAACAAGACAGACACACCTAGTAAAGTGTGCTTTGAACAGTAGGCTGTAAGGAACAACGCACACTCCCTGGATTTTCAGGTATTTTGTTTTACCTGTAATAGTTATTAATTATTACATTATATCCATATAACATGCCATTGGAGCAATACACTAATGGGCTCGTTAGAGTCCACTGATCCAAGCGCATTGAACATTGAAAAATTAATTAAAATTCGACCGGAAAGAAATCGGGAAATCCTTGGGGTGTGCAACAGCTTCCCTGAAGCTAAAACGCTAAACCAATTCCTAATTACAGCTTAAATTACCTATTTTCTTAGGCATTAACGAGATTAACAAGAAATGACTCGAAGCGCAAAAATAATCGGCGTGCGTCGTTGTCTGTGTACAGGACATTACAATTCTGTCATTAAAAACGTCCTACCTTATTTCAGTTAAAAGTTATTAAAGCTGAATATCGAATATGAGGCTAACATAACCGCGGTTGAAAACGTGTAGCTTTATGTTGGAAAAAATCGCTGATCACATTAGCTTCAAAAGGGTCTTTCTGACAAACTGTTGGTAACTTGAAACCTCCCTTTATCCGGAGCCGCCGCACGTTTACTTAGTGTAAAACTTTACCGTAAAAGGGACTGTTCAGGTTAATGACGATAGGTGGCGCTCTCGCCCCTTTGGAATAACTCCCCACTTTCCCTTATTGAGCCTCGTGCGCTGCAGCGAACTCTCGCCACACTAAATTCCCCGTGAGCTGTGCAGCTTGGCAATGCAGCCGAAGATGGACATGTTGCCGTGTGGCTGCCTTTGCGGGGGATTTGCGTCTTAAGTTCTTTTGTATATAAGCGCGTCGCATTTATTTGAGCCCGAGCGTGACATCTGCTATGAATACCAATAAAGTTACTGTTGCCGGCTCACTTCTTCTTCCCGTATACTTTTTAAATTCTTTGCCAAATCATTCCTCCCCCCATTTCAGGCGTAGTGACGGGTAAAGAGTTGAAAAATAGGGAGGCAAAAATAAAACAGAGAAATGAGTTCAAGGGGTAAGCCTAATAAAATGAATAATTAACTGATTTATTAATAATGTGGCATTTTAGGATTTTCACAACTCATGAAATTATAAGAAAATGTAGGCTGTATTTCCCTTTGTAAAGTGTTCTACTAAAAGAATAGAAATGAATGAGCGGTCCCCATAAAGATATGATTACACGACTGTGTCTGTGTGTGTGAGTGTATACATATATTCACCCTTTTAAGGAACAGTTGAAACATGTTGTCCTCATTTTACTGACATAAGCTAAAAAATGAGCTTCTGCTCAGTGGGCTGACTAAAAATGCTATTGAGGGAGAAGAAATGTGAAAGCATGTTTACAAAAATCTACAGAGGACTACACGACACAAGAATACCAGTAAAAATATGACCAGGGAATGTATTTCATAACATCCTGAATCTGGTTGGAGAAAAATGTTAAACTTCTTAGAAAGGACTCCGACTTCCAGATGGGAGTTACCTATGCTGAACAGTAATCTAGCAAAGTGCTTTGTGGGATTTTAACAAGAAAGAATGTCAGTTCAGGAAATGCCGTCAGGGGAAGAAGGAATAACTTAGCATCTTGCCAGGCATTGACAATAAAAAGCTGGACGCATTAACAAGCTTGCTATCATTCTGGATGGAAAAAATTAAATGTTCACTTGTGCGCGACCTAGACTGACTGCACATGAGATTTCTCACTATGAGAGTCAATAAGGTCAATATTGTAATTGTCGTTATGTACAATGTGAAGTTATGAAACTAGGATTAGCAACTAGGAGATAGCGCACTGTCTATAGGATGCCTACTGCCTACTACTTCCAGAATAGGTCCCTCTGTGACCTTGACCAGGATAAAAGTTGGAAGAAACTTGGAAAAGATTGCTGAGTATATTAAAATTGTTATAAAGAAATGTTATATGTTAATGCATCTGCGATGGGTTTGCAGCCCATGGTAGGTTATTCCTGACCCTGAAGCTTCCGGGATAGGCTACAGACCCCCTACCCCTGCAACAGATAAGCAAGTATAAAAAATGGAAGGATGGGTGTCTAATGATTGTTTTATTCATTTTTATATGCAAGTTTATATGTTTATATAGTCATATTAAACATTAATGATGACTTGCATGATTAGTCTAGGTCAGGGGTGGGCAATCTTATCCAGGAAGGGTCGTTGTGTATGCGGGTTTTCTCTGCAACTCCCTAATTAGATTATTAATTAGAGGACTGATTTGCTGAAGAGTCCTCACACCTGGGTTTGAACAGCTGACCTAAAGGTTATCCCTCAATCTTGCATACACACCGGCCCTTTGAGGATAAGATTGCCCACCCCTGGTCTAGGTAATTGCATAACTAAAAATCTGCCCCACATTCAGAGTTACTTAATTTACAAAAATATTACAAGGGTCAGATTCATCATTATCATTATTGGTAGAGTTAGGTGAAATTTCAGTAGTTCTAATTTGGGGTGGGCAGATATAAATAAAAGGTGGCTTACCTGATACATACAGCTGTGAGAAAAATGAAAAGACTACAGCACAATTTTTTGTTTCACTCATTTCTCAACTTATGGGTTTGCATCTGTGAATAATAAATATGTTTTTTTGCAAACTTCAGCCTGGTTCTTCTCTGTTTCTCATTAATGAAGGGCTTCTTCCTTGCTTTATGGGTCTTCAGTCCTGCTTCTAGGAGCCTGATGCAAACTGTCCTAGCAGTGCACTTCACACCTGCACTTAATGTTTCCCGTTCCTTTTGAAGGTCACTTGATGTCATTCTGCGATTCATGAAAATTTGTCGGATAAGTTAATGGTAATCTCTGGCATCACTTCTGCCCTCTACCTGGCTGGTTTCTGGTCGTTCCCAGTGTCTCCTGCTTCACCGTATTCTTGTGTACTATGGTCTTAGAAACTTTGAGCCTGGAAGCAGCCTGCTGCTCAGCGTAGCTTCTGCCAGCAGACCCGGGATTAAACCAGGATTTAAAAATGCAGATATTTAAAAGTATACAGTGGTCTCAATTTTTTCCACGGCTGTATATTTTTCACAAAAACGTGGGAACCACTTATTCAGGGTTTTAAACCCTTTAAGTCCCTTGATTTGAATCCCTTGATTTTTATCACCCATAGCAGCTGCAGAACAACATTAACTGTTCAGGGCAGTTAAAATCAGTCTTACTAGCCAAGAAAATACAATTTTATATAACTAATACTATAGACAGAGAGATACAGATTATAATTTACCTTTATCTAGGAATGTAACATCTATCTATCCATCTATCTATCTAATTTTATCGTACCTGTAATCTCTTCAGCAGCTGTGGGTTACTCAATACTGGCTTGCCTGGGTCCTGTGTTTACGCGGCTGTGTGATGCAGTGGCTGTGTGATGCAGTGGCTGTGTGATGCAGTGGCTGTTTGACAGGGACTGGCACCCGGCACACCGTCTTAGCCATTACAAGACCGCAATCTGACGCAAGTGGCGGAAAGGTCAACAAGCGGCCAGGGGCATGAAGGGGGTGGGGGGCCACTTAACAGCTAGAATATGGTTACTCCTGTGCAATTACACGCACATCCTGAAAAACGAGTTTCTGAGCGCCTGCTCCTTAGTCCCAATCAGCCCCACACTGTGTTGCTAAGAAGGGGTGCCTTGTCTAATTGGCCGATACACTTTCCTCGCCATAGCATGTTGCCGATTGACTGAGCCACTTATCAAGGGCAATAAAGAGCTCTCCTCAGGTGTGCTATACAACCAGGGACCTTGGCCCATCTGTCACTGTACAGTGAGACAAGAGCTGCATCAAACTACCTACATAATGTGTCTTTCTCCTGCCACCCATCCCTGAATACCACAATAAATCGGCCTTCAGAAGCCGTAACCACATGGGACATTTGTCCCAGGCTTGAACTACAGTAGAGAATCAGTACAATAGAGAATAGTTTTCGTGGTGACCCAAGTGGCACAAGAGCTAATGTAGTGCTGTCTTTTTTTTTTTTTTTTAAGTTTTTCTAATGTTATGTTGTTTGTTTTAACTAATAATTGTGTTGGTGGTTTCAGTTATTGGGGTTGGGTCACATATGTCTCAGCATATTAAAACATAAGATGCAGAAGAGGGTTCAGATGTTTTTGGAGAAGGGGCGATGTCGTGGCACAAGCTGCTGTACGCACCTGAACCTAACCGGTAATTGTGTAAAGCAGCATCACTCTGTATGCGTATTTGGGACAGACCAGGAGCGATCATCTGGCTTTGAGAGGTTTCTGATTCGTTAGGTTTTTAAATTGCTCATCTGATACATCCTGAGAATGCAATAAATTAATGACAGCCCGATGAAGCTTCATGAACCATTTACCGTATTTTTTCACCGCACCAGATGGTGCTCTTGGTTTGCTTTAGGGCATGAAGTCAGACCTTTTTTGAATAGAGCACCATCAAGTGGTGTCAGAAAATAAAGCTAATGGTTCATAAAGCTTAATTTGGCCATCACTACCATAAATATCTCCACTGCATCCTCCAGAATCCCTGTGGCTGTAAGTTTTTTATTTATTTATTTATTTATTTATTTATTTATTAACCTATAAAAACCTAAAAGAAACACAAGTGATGAGAAGAAATACATTTATTGGGTACTTAAGAAAATAAAATGCTATAACACTCAAATATAAACAAAGATGGTGACTGAAGTCAGGGGGAAAAAAATACAAACTTAACCCACTTATGCTCCCAGCATCAGTGCCCCTCTCCCCAGGAAAGGGAGGCCTTGTGGCAAGTTAGGCCCCATTTCTGACTCATTCCAGGGTGGGTGAAATCTTCATTTAACACCAGGCTTCAGTCTTTGGGCTAGAGTTATCCACCCAGATAAACAGTCACCCAATCATAAGATGTACCATGTCATTATACAAGGAAAATAACGGTAACAGCAAGAATAAAAACAATAGCAATCTTTTCCAACATGTTGCACCTGATGAAAGCCATTTTCTAAAAGGTGACTAGCAGCCAACAGAATAGAAAAGAGCATTTCACACAAAGGCTTTAAAATAAACATGAAAGATCGCATTTTTGTGTCCCAGTGATATTGAATGGCAAATTGACACAAAAAGTATACAATGTAGCTCTGTTTCAACAGATATTGTGGATGGAAAAAAAAATCATGATCTACAGCTCTGGACAGCTGTGCATGGCCAGAAACACAATGACCAGTTTTGACTCATTCTGATAGCGGTTTACAAACGCAGTGCTAGATGTTGACAGTGGCTGAATAAATTCAGAGATCTAGGACCTCTTCACCCCCACCCCAAAGACACCCCCTCTCCCCTCCTGATTGACACCCAGGAATGTAAACTTGTACAACACTTTAATTCCCCCACCCCCACCTAACTTGAGGGCATTTAAAACGTTATATACAGATATATATTGTAGTTTCACTTCAAGCAGAAATAAATTCATCGCGTGTACCAGATGGTAAAAAGACATGGTTTATATTCGAGTAATTGTTTAATCTGTACCAAAAAATACATAAATGACATTATTTTGCATACTGAAAATGCGCCAAAGGCAAGCTATGATTTCATTTCCAATACAATCCTTCAGATATCACCACATGCTCAGCCTGGATGCCGTTCGTACTTCTACTCAGCACGTCTTGCTGTTTACTAGAATCAGGCTAAAAGCTCCAGGATGCTACATTACGCTGGCAAATGCCAAACGGTTCATTCTAGCAGGAAAAAAAATAAACAATAATAATTCAAGATTAGTAACTCTCCATAATGAGTTGAAATATTAACTTCGCTCGTTCTCAAAATAGTTAGATCTTTATATACTTCATATACAGATGCATCTAGGTTTTTTTTTTTTTTTTTTAAAGCTATAGACATCTGCTTACCAGAGACCATACAATAGGATACAGCATATGCTGAAATACAGACGTTGCAAATCTATAATGATATATTAAGACATGTCTTTGTAAATGTGGACATATTGGTTTTGGCAGCAGCAATAGCAGCGGGAGCAACAGCAGCGTTGAGGAGCCGATCGCGTTCATATTTAAGGCAGAAACGGCGCTGGGTCGGGCCGCGCTGCCAACGCAGCAGCCGAAAGCTAAGTGGACACGCTTCCTTCTCCTGCGGACACCCAGCCTATAACAGCCTTAATGACAAAGACTACAAAAATTACACACAAAAAAAACACACGTGCCATTTTCAGGAGCCACACTTCTGTATCCGCAAGATAATATGAAGAGAGAACTCTCTTTGAATCTGGTAGTCTAGTAACACAGAATATAGATTTTAAACACATTTAAAGCAAATAATGAACTGTGTAAAGTACTCCATTAAATATTCGAATTCGAAAAAAAAATATTGGCCTATTGGCATATCAAAAACCCATTCTTCCACAAGCTTACATATAGGTCAGTTGGATCCTTCTTTGGGTACAAACATTCCTCTAGAGATAAATAATATACTATATCTATACATAAGATGAAGAGAATTAACTTTGGAAAATGAATCTACCAAACTAACATGATGTGATAACACTTTGTATGACTTCATGCTACATATTAATTTACGTGGCTTTAAGGCAAAGTGACTGTAAAGTTTTCTCGCTAATGTACGTATCGTCAACCCATCTGCCTCTCATCTGAGTCGGGGTCCTATCAGAAATCTAGGGACCACCCCAGGCTAATGACAGCATCCCTCATAACCGCGGCAACTAAGTTCGAGGCCAAACTCTCCGAATTATGGATGCCGTGCCCCTATTTGTCCGAAAGGGCGGAGCACAAAGAAAACACGTGGAGGGTCACGAATCGCTGGCCCCCTGAATGCTGTCCAGGCACCATACCCTACCTAACAGCCTAAGTAACACAGAGGATGTGACTCTGTGCACCTTGCATACAGCTCCATGAAGTTTGGCATATAAAAAAAAAAAAACTGCTTTCCAGTTTGTAATTACTGCCATTGTAACGCAAGTTACAAATAATGACTTAAGACTTAAGCAGCATTTTCCATTATCAAGAGCTGAGCGTAATAAGGCCGTCGAGTGGAACTAGGTCATCATAAACAGACGTACACTTGGCAGCCAGGTCACTATAATGCTGTGTTTCATTACCGCACGCTGCTGGTACATTCGACACTGTCACACGGAGAAGGGGCGGCATCTCTGTGAATTAATATCAAAAAACAAGACCTCACTTCATTACGCATTTTGCAAATAGTCACAGTAAGAGGACAAATAAGGTTTTTTTTGTTTGCATGTTGTTGCATGAAAGATAATTTCCCTATTAAAGGTCTATAAACGTAATAATTCTGACCTTTGACCCCAGAGATGCACCATTATTTCTGCCCTGCTGCAGATACACCGGGATAGTGCATCAGATCTGTTCTTTTCTGTTAGATTTTGCATCATTTGATCCAAGCTTAATGAAGGTGAGCAGGTTTATATACAAATACAGAAACTACAACCTTCATTAGACGATGCCGTCCACACATACATAAGTATCCCTTCAGTTGAGTTGTTTGGGTGACATTATGACATTATGTTGCTTTTAATAGCTGTTGTGTTCCAACTAATATTTACCCTGAATATTATAAGTGTAATAATAAAAAAGCAATATAGGCACCAGTCCTATTCATATAAAAAAACTACTTTCCTGATACTATTCCTCTTAAGGGGGAAATTCGATTGAAAAGAAAAACTCAACCAATTCACTGCATTCTTTAGATTCAGATAAACAGCATCTGGCCACAGAAGTACGCTACTCTGCACTGACGACCTTGCCGGGGGTCACGTGGCACAATAAAATGTTTCCACAGCAAAACATGAACACTGCAGGAACATTACATCCCATCTGCAATTATCGCAAATTATGGCAAATGAATTCACATTAAGGCTGTTTTAGAGCTTATTAGACATGCTTAGTGAGATCTGAAGGGAAAATACTGAACTGCTATAGCGTCTTTTACCAAAGTACGGCAGGGTAACAAACACTTTGTTACGGTTAACGTATATTATGTTTGTAAACAGCATGTGTAATTCTGTAATAATAAAAAAAAAAAAAAAAAAGCATTAAAAGAAAACCAAATATGTGTCAACATTAAGTAATACTTGTGACACCATTTTCCCCACTATGAAACTGTACTGTGCATAATCTTGAAGAACTCCCTCTCTCAAGAGGATGAACTTAAACCAGTGCCACAAGTGGTCAAGAACCAACATTTGTACTTCCAGGCCAATGCACTGGCTCCCTGATGTTTAGTCCGGCATTTAGTGTTTGTCTGTAGGCCCTTGGTTTTCACTGGTGTAAGATGCAGAGCGGGTCTGTGTGTGTGTGTGTGTGTGTGTGTGTGTGTGTGAGGTCCAGCGTCCGCATTCCTGGGCTGCTCCCACAGCGGGGGGCTTGGCCAAGGTGGGCAGCTCAGAGCGAGATGTTCCCCAGGAGGTCTGGCGTGAGGTACCCCACAGGCATTGCTGGCGGGGGCTTCACGGGGGCCATGCTGGGGGGCGGTGGGGTGCTGGGGTTGAGCAGGAGGCTCTGCTGTGCGTCCACGTCCTGCACGACAGTGTAGTCTGCAACAGGGGGTAGCTGGGGTGTCGGGGGAATGAAGTAGGGACTCTGATACTCCCCTGCGGGGGGCACAATGAGCGCAAACTGCTCCACGGCGTTCTTCTCGGGGGGTGGCTGTGGCATTTCTGCGGGGGGGTCTTGGAAGGCTTCTCGGCGGGAGCAGTCACTGCCTATCTGCCGGTTACCCAGCTCTGAGGTGTATGCTCCACTGTCAGGGGCTACGATTAGCAGTGGGAGCGGCACCTCCTTCTCCACCCCGCCTTCTCCTTCCTTCTTCTGCCCCTCCTTTTGATTTTTTAGGGGCTGGCCATCTCCTCCCTCGCCTTTCTCCCCCGGCCCCCTAACCTGCTGGCCAGGGGAGAGCACGACCCCGCCCAGGGGGGTGACGTCGCTGACCTGGGCGTAGAAGTCCATGCTGACCGAGCTCTGCGTGCTGAGCTGTGTCTGGATGACGGGCCGGCCGTCAGCTTCGCCGTCAGGGGCGGAGCCTGCAACAGGGGCGGGGCCTGCATCAGGGGCCGGGCGGTCGCTCTGCAGCTCTGGGGAGGTCACGCGGGGTCTCAGGCAGAAAGCCGCCGCCACCGCGGGGTCGGCTTCTGACAGCTCGGGCTCGTAGCAGCTGGCTCGGCCCAAATCGCCGTCCTTGGCCGCCAGCCTGTGGGAGGAGCCGAGGTGGGGAACCAGGCCCAGCAACCGCTGCGTGTCCGAACAGCCAGTCTTCTCGGCCGCGTCCATCCGCTCCAGGTCCAGCTCGATGAACTCCACCCAGGGCTCCTCGCGGTACATCTCCGCCTTACAGAGCGGATGGCTGCTGAGGACCGAGCTCAACTCATCCAACCTCCCCTTCTGTGGACGGGGCACAGAGGTTCTCCGTGAGTTACTGCCTGATTTCTGCGTTTTGCTCTCGTCATGCAAGGAAACATGTGCAACAGGTAGGCAGACGCCATATCTGGACTAAATAACACTTTCATCACCTTATAGTGCTTAACATCAAAGCCAAAAGTGCATCATACCGCATAATTACCTTTACATCACAAAGTCACCTTTAAATACAAAGTCACTTTATATCATATCTTAAATACTCTGTAACTTGGATCTTACTAACAAAATAGCCCATGTTTTCTTTGTATGAACACACACACACATGCAAACATAATTCAATATAAAAATGAAGTCAAGATTCCAACCTTTAGCAGATCCGGATCAATCCCTTTGATTTTTGGAGCTGGCACTGGGGGCAGTAAAATCACCATCAACCTGAGCGAAGACATTGAGGAGGGAGTGAGGCGTCAAACATCGGCCTCATGCAGGATTGCAGGATGCTCTTGGTTGGCTGTCAAAGGGACCAGACTCTACAGAGGCGTTACTTGGGTGAAGCTCTTAAGAAGACCACCAAGTAACAATCTAAAGTAATGATTTGCCAGGATTTCACTGCAATTTATTCTTTCTGTCTGATTTATTACGTGTAATTTTTTTGTAAATGTTCAAAATCATAAATATCAAAGCCAGGAGAGTTTGAATCCTGCCCTCACTCTACATGTGTGGTTTGCGTGTTATCTTTGTTTCCTCTGGATATTCTGGCTTTCTGAAAGGGAGCAAAAATTAGGACTATCTGGCAGGAATCTCGGAGGGAGCAAAAACATGGACCAACTGTGGGTCCCCAAGGACCAGATTGGGCAACGCTGGGTTACAGGATGAAATGGTGTCAAACTTTTCAATGGGTAATTCATACCCTACAGAATTCCCAAATAGCAGCTGTCATATAAATGTGTTTGTTTACCAACAAATGTTTGATTATATGCGAATAATTAGTAATAATTAGAGGCATACAGAAAGGTCATGCTTCATCAGAGAAATTCATACTTCTGCTGATGAGAGAAGATGATCAGCAGGAAGAGGATCGCTAGCCCCACCACTCCAAAGATGAAGACGACCGTCACGGGGAAGGTGGATTCTGGTGGAACAGAGACGGAGCACTAAATCAGATGATTTTTAAAATAACCAAGAACGGCATGTAATAATCCCGAGGAATCTCCTGACGTAATGGCACACGCTGCCGAGCGCTCCAGCGGCAGAACGGCGCCCCCTAGGGGTCTCACCTTTACCATGCACCTTCCCCGGCACATGGACGAAGATGCTGTCACTGAACTGTCCAAAGTTGTCAAAGGCTCGCATCTTGCACCTGACCCGGACCTCATACTCCATGTTGGTGTGCAGGCCATAAACGGACTGCTGGGTGGAGGTTTCCAGGTCGAGCTGGGGGGGGGGGGGGGGGGGGACAGGGTGGAGAGGCCAGCCGGTTTAGGGTGTGTCAGGGTGGTTCTAAGGTTTCACACATAAGCATAAAGAAACGACTGGGGTTTTGATAGATGGAGGAAGTGCATCCGTCTTCCTTACACACTATGTCCAATTTAAGTTCCTGGGGGGGGGGGGGAGCCTCTCACAGGAAGCCCAAGACACACAGCAGGAAGACTCTGGACTGGGTGGCTACGTTCACACTGCAGGACAAATGTGGCCCAAATCTGATTTTTTGCTCATATGTGACATTTTTCATGACCATGAACACAAGTCACATGGAATCCGATTTTTTCAATTCCGATTTGGGCCACTTCAGAATGTGGACATAAATCGGATACAAGTCTGATTTTTTGCAATGCGACCTCAGTCTGAACAGCGAAATCGGAATTCATGCGACTTTTATGCAGGGGCGGAGCCAAAAGGGTGGCAATTACCATTCCCAGTGCCACCCGCTGGAAATGGTAAACATTAAAATATGTTTTCCACTCAAATGTTTGAGTGGAAAACTGTAATTTCCGAGTGGCACTGAAGGCATCCCGACGCAGCAGTACCCTGTGCACACTGCTTACTGACATGTCACTGGCTAAAAGCTCTGGCAGTGGCCCTGAAGGCATCCCGACGCAGCAGTACCCTGTGCACACTGCTTACTGACATGTCACTGGCTAAAAGCTCAGGCAGTGGCCCTGAAGGCATCCCGACGCAGCAGTACCCTGTGCGCACTGCTTACTGACATGTCACTGGCTAAAAGCTCAGGCAGTGGCCCTGAAGGCATCCCGACGCAGCACTACC